ATCTATTCATTTGAGTTCTTTATTCTGTATCTGTCATCACCCAAAGCTGACGTAATGTGGAGGAAACTAACAGCAGAGCAGCAGCACTTTGGAGGTATTTCTCCAAATCCTAAAGATATTATTGGATCAGAGCCAGTAAAAGCTGATTCCAGCCATCCATATGTAAGACAAACATTTTTGTGTTTCTTGTTAATTATATTTAAAACAATTTCTTTTGGCTCAGCACTGCAACACTGTTGATCTGTAGTATGTTTGTGACTCATTGAATTTTAGGGAACTCCTATGAGTTTGATCTCCTAGCCACAGTCTGATTCTTTCCTATCTGATAAATGAAAGGATCTTTTTCTGTGTTTACAGCAGCGGTGTGCTTTGTGCTTTCTGTTTTGGGCCGTTGACGTACGAGCGACACAAGATCTCCCTCCTCTCACTCACTCCTCTTTCACTCTGTATGCCTTTACTTGATCTGTCTCTCGTTATGCACCTCGGTCTTATCTTACCCTGTCGCTCTCCCTCTTTCTCTGTCAGATATTTTTAAAGGATCTCTCTCAGACGTAGTTGCTCAGAGCTTGTAAGGTCAGAAGAAGTCAGCGTAGCTCTGATTGCTGGTGTGTCTCAAAGTGTTACATACCAAGTTGTCTGGTTCTTTAATTCCTGTATGAGAACATTTCAGGTCCCAGCAAATTTAACTGCAGACACAAAAGTACTTTAGAGTCTGTGCTTATCTCTGAGCACTGCTGGAGCACTGCTCTTTGATAATATTATCCACTATTATCCTTCTAATGTACATTTTCTTTTACGTTAGTTTTACCAAACCCATATTCAATGTCCGAGCAACATTTGAGCAGCTAAAATTTTGTTTTGCATTAAAATTTGTTAAAAAAAAACAAACCCGAGTTGGGATAGCTCTTTTTTTTCATTCCAATAATTCTCTTGTACCAACTGATTTAGTATTGTTCTTGACAAGGATTCAGCTCCAGTGGGAATCCGTTGCTGACAGCTTTGTGATTTGGACATATTTGCCATTTAAAGTGCAAACTGCAGCTAAGCCATCTGGCTAAGCTTCTAATGCTCCATTTATAAATTATACCACAATAGAAAGTGGATTAACGTCTGTCGATGTAATCCTTTAATGAGTTTCGTAGTGCTTTCTGCGATTTTGTTTATCCTGCAGCAGGAATTCAGAAGTAATATACACTATTGAACTGTATTAAGCATCTTTTTAATTGCATTTTCTTGTAATAACGAATCTGTTAATCAAACAAGGCTGAAGTCCTTGGAATACTTGCATGTTCTAACGAGTAAATATGGCAAACGTGTGGCAAAATTACAAAATGTCACTGTTCTGTATGTTCTTGCTGCTGAGAAGACATAAGCGACAATCAGCTTGCCTTTGACGTATTTATCATCAGAGGTTTTTGGGGCCTCCCAGCTTTGAGGGGAAAAACGCAGCTTTTCCATTCTGCTAAGAGAGCAGTGATGTAATAAGGGATGATGAAGATAATTTAAAAAAATAATAATTCAGCGATGTTACAGCACACCGCAGACGAGCTATGAGAGACACTAGCATCATTTAAATTCTTGCAAACGTTAATAGAGGCTGTTGTGAAATGGGTGCACAACAATGTGGTAAATAAACTTAAGGAAAATGATTTTAATTAATATTTCTTGTTCTTCATTTGACTTGTGTACAGCAACTTTAATGCCTTTTTTACATCTGTCCTGTCTCTTTGTAAACCAGTATAATATGACTGTTTCTATGAGTGGCTGAAAGTCATAGAAACAGTTGGCATCTCCTAATAGTCGAGGTCTTTGTAACAACAATGACAGAAGTATAAAACCCGAGCTGCCCAATGACAGTGAGAGTGTCAGCACAGAAAGGTTGATAAGCGAAATAGCTCAAAAAATGAAGCACAAGACCCGAGTATTTATAGGAGCAGTAACGCTAGACTGAAAGTGTGGACATGGATTGACCAGTGTGCTGTAAATGGCACTCGTCTCCAGCAACATTTGATCTAAAAACATATTTTTGAAGATTGGCTCCCATTTCTTCCTTTAGATTTCATCTTCAGTAAAGTGTGTGCGGTGTTCAGACCTGGCTGTGGTGCCTCACCCTGATCACAACGTGCACTGTGATATGCTAGTCCTAGGTGATGATGACATGCCAGTGCAGTGCTTTGCTTAGTTCTACGTTCTCTTGTTTTGGAAAGCCTTGGTTCACTGTCCAAGGATCTTGTTATTACTCACTAAGGTTCAAGAAAGAATATACAGAGATATGGTTTAACAGCCTAACTTAGTTTTTGTATTCCAGTTACTTTGTGAATGAATTTTGTAGTTTTAGTTAATAAAAATTGATCCAAAAACTGGCAAGGCATATACACAGACACTTTTCATTTATATTATTAGAATTTACATTTAAATCCATCTACTTTTAGGGTAGAGTGCTGTAATCATATCTGATATTAAGTCAGTCTAACATTTCTGCAAACGATTGTAGACATCAATATGAAAATGTATGTATTTTTTTAAAAATTTGGAGTAAACAACACTTGCTCTTATTTAAAAACCGTATAGTGATACATTTCCTTAAAGATGGACAAAGTTGACGACACACATCCATCCTACTTCTTCCATTATTTCGGACACTTTCCCAGTCAAAGACAAGTCCAAACACGTGCTAAGCTGGGTTCAGTTTAGAGAAAACTCAGTGAATCTTCAGGATAAAGGAGGTTTGAATTATATGATTTTAACAATTCTCACTGCAGAGATGGCCAGCTGTTCTAAACCTGCAAGCATTCAACCCAAGATGGATTTTATAGATGGTGGGCAATTAAAAACCCATGCAGTTCTTGAACTTTCAGGGAGAGTCTTTGTTGGAAATCACAAAAGGCTGGGCATATCTGACATGGATAATGATATAATGATGTTCAACCCAGCCCTACAGCATAGCGGGGCAGAGCTTACTACAATCCTCTTCCTTTGGTGGAACTGTGTATTGATTTTTAAGGTGCTTGAATAGGTTTTGAAGTTGAGTGAAAAGACATTGTTGTAGTAGGTAAGAGATGCATTTTTTTTCCCTCTCTGTGGTGGCTGCACTGTCTTTCGGCATGGACAGATTTGTGATGACCATGTTTAACAGTATTAATCAAAGTGGTCTTTCCAAGGACTTGACACGCTGATTTATGGCTCTGAGCTGTTTTAATTATAATCAGAATGGGTGTCTCCCTGATGAATAACAGCTGTCTCTTCTGTGACTCATAAGTCCTGACAGCAGCCAGAGGAGTTGGTTGTTTTACTTTGTGTTTGTGCCTGTGCCTGATTGTGCATGTGCTCTATTTGAATTGTTTCACAGCCAAATTTGATATGATTCGATAACCTCTGCTTCTGTTTTTTCTTTCTTTCTTTTTGGCTAGTTTTGCTCAGATGGAAGAACGGGGATCTGGCCTGGTCTGGTCTGGCAGCTGTAAATGATCAGATTTATGGATGTCTGTTTGTGTGCCATGGTTTTGTGGTGCAGATCTCTGGTTTAGAGCCACATGATGGGTCTTGTAATCATCAGTCACATCCCAATGAAACGCAGGCTGGGAGTATGCGGCCACATCTTGACCGCATGCACAAATGCACATAGGAAATACAAATTGGCTGCCATCAATTTCTTCATTATTTTGCTCGTATAGATACAAAAGCAGATATTTCGCTAAGCATATAATGCATAGTCACAAACTGACACAAGTTCTGCTTTCAGCACTGGTGGCCTGTGGGGCTTTTGTAGTGCAACAAACAACCGCTTTGTGCTTTGCAAGGATGGGAAAGTAGGAGCGCACTGACGCGCACTTAAAAACACAAACACACATTCGTGCACGAGCACGCTCGCACACTGTGGAAGTGTCAAAGGCAGGGTGCAGTTCTGTCGTGCACAATAGGCTGTTTCATTACAGCCCCCTCATGACACTAGAGCAGAAAATGGACTTGCAGTAAAGGGCAGATGAGGAGTCGGGAATGTTACAGCTCAGCGCTCTGAGGTTGACATGACCTGACAGTGGTCAGGTCCATATCGGATAGATGGCTTCACTGACCTGACAGTCGATTGTAAATGGAAAAATGCATCATAAAATACTTTTTGTGTGTGTGTGTCTTGATTAATAGGTTCGATAAACAGATGCATGAGCACTCCTCTTGACCTTTCTTGACTGGTAGCTTCCATCTTTTGTAAAATCATGTCAATTCCAGTGCTTCTAAATTGGGGGCTCGCAATGTTTTGAAGCCTGTATAGCCACCAGTGTGTTTCAATAGTAAATATTTTTTTAATCATTAGTTTAGTGGCTGTTGCTTTTCTACTTGTACAGCTGTATTTGTCAGTGTAATTGAGGGTCATTCTGCTGTGATTTCTAGAACAGAAGTAATATAAGAGAATGCTCCCTTGGTCTGCTTCTGTGGTGCTTTTGTGTACCATGAAGCGTGGGTGGATGAAATGTATAGTACTGCATGTGGTCTTTGTTATGCTGCTGGACTTAGAAGATCTAGTACCAGGGGTTTCTATTTCTTTGCCCTAGTTCTGTTTTTGAAGTGGATTTGGTAAACAGTGAGATACTTTACGTCTCTCTCATCTGAAACTTTTTGTTGTATTCTTTGCACTGAACAAAGAGCAAATCACCAAGCTGACTCTTAAATGTTAGAATTTTTTGTTTTTACAGGGTACAAAAGTAGAGAATTACATTACTACAACTGGCCATAAAAGTACATCTTCCAAAGATTGTGTTTTTGTTTGTTTTTTTTTTACAAGCCGGTCTATCCAATAGGCTCAAATTTAGAGGGTAGTGATAGCCACAATTACATTGTCCACAACAGAGCCATACTCTTAAGTCATCATCAGTGTTGGTCAAGTTACTTGAAAAAAGTAATCAGTAACTAATTACTGATCATACATAAAACATCTGAAAGTGTTCAATCCAGTTTTGTTTTTTGTTTTTTTGTTTGTTTGTTTGTTTTTTCCAATAGCTCATCCGAAATTAATTTACAATGTGGGACAGATTTTAAAATAAAATAAAATAAGAGGTTGTTTTTATTGAATATTTTTGTTACTGAATCTGGCAGCTGGCAGTGGAAATGTGCCGTGGAGTGGGTGTTGTAAGTAACGATGTTTGGCAGTGATTTGTGTTTGTCTGAATCTCTCCCTTCGTGTCGCCGTTTAAGTCCGACTTGAAGGCTGGGCCTCTCAGTCCTTTCAGTTATGGCTGAGATCTGCTTCATGTCAAAACTGCTCCCTCTGGACCGCACCGGGAGATGGAATTAAATTGTAATATTTTCCAGCATAATTACATTTTGTGGGTGTTTTTGCTATAGCTCACATTTTTTTTTGACAACATGTTAAAGTAATTTAACATGTTGCGTAATTTCTTCGCATGGTAGTAGTATGTGTTTAACCCATCTGGTCTGTTAACAGCATAGCTTTAGTGCTATTCTAAGAAGTCGATTAAACTGAGGGTCACGCTGTGGAGTTCAAGCCCCCGTCAAAATATATCTTTTGACCGTAATATGCACCTCCTGACCTTGTGCCAGACGCGGACTCATTAGTGAGTCACCATGTTTACTCCTGTCACATGATGTTGCAGTCAACCCAGGGAACTAAACGGAGCCCCCCTCCCCCAGTCCCTCCCCCACATAGACCAAGAGTCTCCACACCTCATTCAGGGGGAGAAGGTCGTCTCAGGACACGGTTCATCTGAGTCTGTGAACAAACAAGGAAAAAAAATACATCTGGGTGATTAATAAAGCCTGGGGCCTATTTGTCAGGTTTAATTACAACAGTTATAAGACAAGTAATATTTTACTAATGAATAATTTATTAAAGGGTGCCGACCGTATATGGCTAAATGAGAAGAAACTTCATTGGCTTCTTAGGAGATTATTTTATGTTACGCGATTATGCTGCTGACACTTGTAACAGCCCTTTCTATGCTTCATTTTCTTGCCTGTGAAAACAGTCATAAACACACATTATTTTCCACTGTAGATGGCAGCTTTCTGCATTAATTACCCGAGTCGTTTGACAACACACACCTCATATTTTGCTACGGCAAACACAATAAATCCCTGTAATAGTCACTGCTTTGCTTTTTCTCAGCCATGCTTTATTTCTAATGTTGGACACAAGCCAGTAGACCACTGCAGACTCTGCAGGTGAATCCTTGCACTTCCTTTGGGTATTTCAAGGGATTTAAGCTTGCGTCAGCACTTGCGTTGCTTTGGTATCCTCTTGGGTGTGCAGGGAGTAGAATAGGTTCATTTACTCAAGTTAAATTCTGGGGAGAGAGGTTCACTTCTTTTTCCTTCTCTCTTTTTCTAGGCGTTTAATCTGATTTATATCCATACTTTGCATTCTTTTCAAACGAGTACATTCTTATTACATTCAAATAATTTCTTTGTGATGCTTTAGTTATGCCAGTAGTTTGCACAGCCCTTGGCCAAAACTGTGTTGTTTTCGATGAGGAAATGCTGCATGCTAGTCACATGTAGCAGTGGAAAGAACTGCTGATCATATCCAAGAATCATTTATTGTGGCTCAAGATGGAACAAATGGCAAATATGGCATTCCAGTGCAATGTCAGCAGTGTTCTCAAATGCAAAATAGTGGTCCAGATGAGAGAGGATGAAAAATCCTGAGAGTAAAAGCTTAAGAATACTGGCGGTGGACCTTTTTGATTTTGATGTTGGCAGGAAAAAATGGTGCCTATTTACTTCGATACCATCAGCAGGTTTGTGACAAAATTGTTAGTAGGAGGAGAGTACTGTCTGTTTCCTCTTTCTCTGCTTATCAAACAGTTGCTGTTAATGAGCTTCACATGTACTGTGACAAAGTGAGCTATACTTTGTTTCTCCCTTTTCCTTTAAATGTAGATGGAGCCCTTGAAATGTGTCTCATCTATGCTCAGTCAGTGAGGACATTCATGTAAACGCGCATAGCTGTCTGGTGGTCGAGTCTGCAGTTCTGAGCTGAGGAATATTATGTGCTAAATCAGGATTAATGGAGTGATACTGACAGCCAAGCAATGTAGCGTAGGTCAGTTTATATGCACAGATGACAGGTGTGCAAACACAGATACACACCAGCCTAGATTTACACCTTTATTGCCATGTTAGAGCCGTTCATGCTCCCGCTGTGTTGTTTATTTTGGTGCGGGTATGTCCAGTGAGAAGGTTGTGGTGCTGGATGTGTGGCTTATTGTGAGAAACATGTAGTTTTAACAAATACATGTATGAGGCGTTCATTGCAGAGAAATGAATGCTGAAGATGTTTCTGCCACATGAACCAGTTTAAACACACTACTCCTTAAAAATAGTTTCCAGTGTGGGGATTCACTGCTTTCAGCCACGAGCGATTGATCCGCTCGTCCGAGGCAGTTTGACAAACGTAAAACCACAGTCACCGCACAGACCAGCAGAGCAAGCAGGGAATCCCTGCCACAGAGACTGACAGCTGCATATACAGTAGCTTGCTGGGGCTGTTTCTCCCATAAATCCCATACTCTCTGCTCGAATAATTGATTTCAAATTGATTTATAGGCTCAACTGGCTCATTTGCTTCTTGTGCTGGTGTGGACTTGTATTTTTGTTTCCTATAATTATTGCCTCCTTGGTTTGCCAGCAATAAGGCCAAGGTTTTACCCTCCAAATGGAAGCATTTTCCACAGAAGCACCAATTAAATATTCATTTGGATTTGTTTGTTTCTCTGACAAACCATAAATTAGACACCCCAACAATTTCCTATACATGATGGAAGTTGGAATGTTACACGAGGCCCATTTTAGCATTGCTGTGCAGTCCTTAGAATACGTCTCATGCATGATGCTTTTCCACATCTTAATAATGAAAATCTTGAAAGGGGACCGATTATGCGTTTCCTGATTTTATGTCATATGATCACTTTTAACCATTTAAGTGCAAATAATCCCCATGACCCCAAAACTCAGGTTTTAGACTGCCTTAAGTGCACTTTATGATGTGACTGAGCGGCTTTCACAAATATGGCCAACGTGGCTCGCCAACCGGCCAGTCAAACTTTCTGAGGAGTAACCATTTAAGAGGAAGTTAAATGGATACTATTATACTTCTATTAACTCATTGCTGTAGGCGCGTCATGACGTCAAACTCTTCTAAAACCATATCATATCCTAAAGTGCACATCCTTAGAAATGTATCTACACGTTGCAGTCATTGCCACCTGCGCAGGTATTCATGTTTTGCAATGGAATCTTCAACTTGTATAGTCTACTTTGTCGACTCTGTATGGATTAACCATAGAAGTACAACTGAAACAATAAAGTGAGGAGATAAATGTTTTTGATAAAGAACAGTTCAGTGTTTTGAACTGTCAATCATGCAAAGCTAAAATAATTGCGATGAAAAGGAGCATAATGGTTCCGTTTTAAAGATCTGTTGTGTGCAGTACACGGGAATGCAAGTGCTCAGTGCAACAGGTTCTTCACAGTCACGGAAGTCAGGATAGTGTGAAGGTTAAGATGAGTCCTCATTTGCATGGATAACCCTGCCAGGGTGAAGTCAGAACATGAGCGGTGCGGGCGCAGTACTTGTTGTTGTTGTTAACATCTCTCTCTGTCTGTGTTCGTCATCATTAAATATTAAGGCTTTTACTTGCTATCCAACTATTCATTTAAAAGCCAAGGACCGATTTGGCACATCATTGTATTTCTAAACTAAAAAGCCATTTCTAGATGGCAGCTCCTCCCTCCTTTCTTTATATGATCAAACGCTCCTCCAAACTCTTTTGTGTCAAAGGAGATTCCTCACATGAGGAGGCAGTTGAGCTGCTATCTGAGCAAGTGCTGAATGTCATCAGGAGGATTAATGAGGAGGGAGGGACTGTGTAGTGCAGGAAGGGGGAAGATTTGGCAACACTGGAAGTATAGGAGAGTCATTTGTGAATTAAAAAATAAATACAAATTAGTGTTTTAATAAGTTTCAAGGAAGTTAAATGGGGACTGGGAGGAGGAAAAATGGAAGGAGCGAGCTTAATTTATTGCACAACCATCTAAAGTATCCGTCTTATGCATTACTCACTTTGTTATCAAGTTCCAGTCTATACAAATGTTTGAAAGAAGGAATGGCTAAAAAAACACCTTTTGGAGGTCTTGGACCTTTTTCACAAAAGATCTCTGAAGCACCCCTGGGGGCGAATGACCCTGTCATCTCACCCCTCCCCCCTTCCACATTCAACCCCTCCGTCACTATCAGCCTCCTGCTGAATTCACAGAGCCCCCTTCTCTCTTCATGCTGGCCAGTCCTCTGCAGCTCCTGCAGCAGATGCGTCGTATTTTCTGCCAGATGTACCAGAGTGCGTCCTGCTTAAGTAGGGAAGAAAGAGCAACTCCAGGAAGGGGGGGGGAAAGATGCTGTAGGAGGAGCGTGAAAGAAAGCGGGCAGACGACGCAACAGTTTTACACTGCATTCGGCTTCAATGGGAGAGGCGTGTTAGAGAGAGGGAGAGCAGTAGCGGCAGCACACTCGCTGTAGCGCAGGTGGATCGCAGCTGTCTGAAGAGAAAGATTTGGCGGCAGCAGGTTTGTACTGAAGATTCTCCACAACTGTAGTTTTATTCCGTGTTTTGTGCACATCTTTGTATTTTCTGTGACTGAATGGATGCTGTGTTCCCCTTCGTATCACTGCTGTCCCTTCATGTTTCTGCTCGGCAGTTCTGTCATTCCCTAGAGCTGACCGCAGCAAAGGAAAGTGTGCGCATCAGTGGTAAACTCATGTTTTTGTTTCATTTTTTTTCTTGTTAAGTTGAGACATGCACGGTCCTTCTTGGTATCTTGTTCGCAAAAGTTCATTACACATTAGGAAGTTTACGAGGGATTCAGAGACTTGTCTGGCATGCTAAATGAAATAGCAGAGGCCCGATTCCCTCCTTTCAAACTGGGAGTTCTTTTACTGCGGAGAAGAATAGAGCTGGGAGCTTTGAATGCACCCGAGATGGCTTTCTGTGTGCTTAAGAGAGGTGCCGCCCTCTCAAGTGTCAGCATGCTTATGGGAAGGTGGTAGGGGGTAGGTTCATGTGCTTGTAGTTTGTAGAGGGGGCTGGGATTTTTGCATCTGGGCTGTATTGATAAGGCGTGAGTTATTACCTTGGTCTCTTGCATAATATGAAATTTTAGTTTAAGGTTAAGGATTAAAAAAGTTGCTTTATTTTCTTGTGGTTCCTTTTTCCCTTGAGGGGAAGGAGTGATACAGTCAAGTGCTCTCGTGAATCTCTTTTCATAGATATCTGTTTACTGTCGACTGAACGGCGATAAGGAGCCATTAGGAGCAGCTTGTTTCTATTTCGGACTGTTTTTCCGGGTATTCCTATGAAAGGCCCCCTTTCATGGTTGGATAAATGACTGACTGACTGGGAAAACCAGTGGTTTTGTTGCGCTTTGCTCACTTTCTTTTTTTGTCTTTTTTTTTTTTTTTTTTTTTTTTGAAATTTCTGCTTACATTTGCTTCACTTCATTAGATTTATATAGCTTTAGGCGTTTTCCATGATCAAGGCATTGCCTTTTATGCCTCGAGGTTATGGATCATTTCTACTTGTTTTCTCTTTCCTCTCAAGAACTGAATCACAGAAAGCTGTACACCATTTCAGATCAACAGTCTCTGATTTCAACACAACAGATTTTTTTTTTATTTTTTGCTCAAATGCTCTGCAGCTTATCCAAGAGCTCTCACGCTGTTTGTGAAGGAAATTTGGGGCCAAGTTGAGTCATGTTTGTGCTGCAGTTCTTTTTGAGCTACGCTAAGATCTCAAGCTACCCATCAGTGCAACAAAGTGTATGCAAATGTAAACGTAGATGTGCGTAGGTTACAAAGCTTAGAACTGACCTGCGTTTTGTCTGACTTGCTGTCACATTTGTATTTCAGTGCTGAAGTAATAAAGTCTCTGATTCACATCAGGAACACACCTGCCTCTGTAGTGTTACTGCATACAGCCACTGAGCTCACAGACTGTACTTTTCTTCACTAGTCTCTTCCTGTTGTCTTCAGCGTGGTGCACATTGCTTACATAATAGTGAGCAAATACTCCTCACAGGTTTGACTCTGTTGGCTGCCTCACCTTTAACGTCCAGGCTGAACGAAAAATACTGTAATCCACACTAGGTGCAGTAGTGCGCACTGCATTGCACAACCTCAACAGACTGTTTGTTTTTGAAAATCATACATTTGGGGTTTCAAATGCTCTAATGCTTGATAATGGCCAAGCATGTCAAATCTTGCTTCTGTCTTGGATACATTTTTTTAAATTATTGAAATTGGTATTCATCCTCTCATTGAGCCTTAAACCAACATCAAAATATTTTCAAACTTTGACTTAAAATCTGGTGAGTTCTTGACGAGGAGGCTGAATGTGCACATACAAAGCACTGCTAGCTGCAGCTTTATATGCTGTTACTGTTGCTTTGTGGAGGTTTAACAGGAGCAGAAAAATGTTCTGCGTTGAGATTCAGTTCTGCTGCAGAGGAGATTATTAGGTGTGTACACATTGTACTTGCTGCCATGGCGATGGCCTTGGTGCTCCAATGAATCCTGAAATGTCCAATCAAATATTTGTGCAGAGTTCGTCTGCAGAAAAAGCAATAAAAAAAAAGGACCCTTGCTGCAGGCTTTGCTTGGTCTCCTCTGAGGTTTCTCATTGTTTCAGGAATGACTTTGTGTGCTGGGCCCTTGAAGAAAATGTTGGTGCTTCAGGCTGAATGATTTGCGGTCCTTCTGGCCTTGATTTCCTCTCCCGAGGCATTTTTTTTTTTTTAAACAAATATATATATATTTTTTTGTATTCATATGAACTTGACACCACATGCCTGCTCTCAGGTCAAGGTTTTGAGATATAACTTACATCTGACTTATTGTGCTTTGACCATGTAGTTCAACAACGTCCCAAAAAACTATCCAAGAAAATTTATCTCCCAATGCTGAGGCTGAGGGGGTGAACACGTACTGTTAGCGAGTATTTTTCTGGTCTCTCAATCAACCTCAGCGACCTCACTGGCTCTATTCCTTATGCTCTCTGTAGTGTGTGCGTGTGCATGTGCGTGTTAGGTAAATAGCTTGGGTATTATTCCCACAATTATGTCATACAACATGGTTTCCAGCTGTCGATGTCAGCTGAACTTAATTTTGCTTTCAAGAAATTCATCCCCAACCACAGTCCATGTGTTTGTGTTGTTTTTTTGTTGGGGGTGATTTTGTGCATGTGTGCCCGGTCTGTGTTTTGTTCATTTTATTTATTTATTTTTTTTAATCTTTGCCTTAACTGTTTATATGAAAGTACACACTGAAGGTCTGTGGAGTGTCACCTGTTGGCTTGCTCCATAAAGAAAATCAGATTGTGAGTAATGAAAGCGCTGAAGCTTTTTGGTCTTTTTGGAGATCATGGTTAGGGTCTGATTGAATACTGCGTTCCAGCTCTAAATTAAACCAAATGTGTTTTGGGCTGGGTCCCATAGACGGGCGCAAACAGCTGAAAAAATGGCTGCACACATTTCAGCTTGAATGCAGGTGCTCATGTAGTTTTAAAGCAAAATCATCTTTGAGCCAGAAAAGTATATGTGAAATTATTTTTTTTGTTTACAGTGGAGAGCATTTAGGCAGCACTGAGGTCTTTCAAGCATTACATTTACATAGATAAGGCTTCCAAATCCTCAATTTCCCCCCAGGCTTGAATTTTGATCTGTTGGATTTTGTTTTCATGGGACTGACATTTAGTCATTTCTCTCACATCTTCATTCATGTTGCAAGCTTGTTACTCAATCAGATTGCAATAAACGCTCCCAAAGAGAAAGATTGATGCCGTGTGGTTTGCTGGTTTGCTGCTGCTGTTATTGTTGGAGTCATGCATGAAAGACGTCCACAGCAGAAAACTGCAGCACTCCAGCCTCTGAGTAATCCCTTGGATAATGACGTCAGTTAAGTACCCTAAATTGGTTGATCTTTGCCCAGCAGTGGCTGGACCCCACTAACCCAGGCTCCCATTTTACCCTGGCCACAGTGAGCTGAGTCTTGTGGGGTGAAACCAATAACGATTTAGGTTCTCCCAACACTTTTTTTTTTTTTTTTTTTTTTTTACAGATTGTGCTAGTGAGGTCAAAGTTCATGGGAAAGGTTTCTGAAATTGTCTTCACCAAGCAGCTGCATCCCTTGGCAGGTTAATATTAGATCTCATAGTTAAGGAGTCATGTGTTACAGGGAACTGGAACTTCTGTAGTTCAGTACTTTATAGTTGAGCCTTTGTTGAATCCTTACGACTTTTAAAAGTTTAATGAGCTACATTATTGTGTTTATATGTTCTGGGTAGTATTTATGTTAGCCAAAGAAATGCGAGGACAGAATGCAAAGCTGTAGCTCTCATGTGCCCGGGTTATACTGGCAGCTCTGAGTCAACCTGTAGAATATCTATTTCACAAACTGACCTATTGAGGACTGGCATCCTATTACAGTACCACACTCAAATTCAGTGAGCTCTTTAGAATGACCCCCTTTTTTTTCAAATGTTTGTAAAAGCAGACTGCATCCCCGTTGCCACAGGTAAATTTGCGCTTCCTCATTTGACTGAACCTCCCACCTGTTTGTGCTTTGATTTCAACCACATTCACTCTGTGCTTGGTGCCAAAGTACCTCACAGATGTACAAAGCAGAGTGCTCCTTATGTTTCCCTGCACAGCTTGTGTGGCCTAACACTGTATGTTGTCTTTGTCTTGTGAACCTGATCCCAAGTGCAAGTATTGCAGCACCATCCACAACCGTCTGGACCCACTTAAGCACTGGACAACACAGAAGTTTAGAGGCTATTGAAAGAACATGGAAGAGCATAAAATACATTAAATACTGAAAGACACTGACCTTTTCATCTTTTGGAGATGCTGTGCATCACAACATTTTTCCTTTTTGTGCTTCTTTACCACTTTTGATGTCAGTTGGCTAATTTTGGCTTGTGTCATTAACCTTAAGATATCCCTACTTTTTTTTATTAAATGAACGCTACTACCCTTTTGACCTGACATGCCTGATGATTGGTGTTAGTAATGCTGATCTTTAATAAAACAGAAAGCTACCACTTGGTTTAAAACCAAAGCCTTTTTTTCTTTTTTTTGTCCTGTGGAAAAAGTCAACTGGTTGGAAGGAGCTTCATTAACTTTTTATAGTAATGTTTTATGCCTTACTGACTATCACCATAATTGTTTACAAATGCCAGGTAATAAGTACTCATTTTCCAATACAGAATCCCTACCCAGAATAAAATCTCTTTACAAATTTGTCTTTGAAGCTCTGAGAACAAAGTGTGAATTTCACAGGAAAGGAAAGAGTGCTTTTTGACAGGTAGTTGGGTTTCCACATGTGGTGTTTGTCCTAGGATTTACAGCTGAGTGTAATGTGATGTGTGGCAGGTTGAGGAATTAGAAAAGATGGAGTGGAGCCCAAGAAGAATGATTTATAGATAAAATAGTAGCAAACAACCAGCACAAATTCATGAATAAATTTGCATCATATCCTAAGGATATGATGCACAGGACCCACTGGACCAATA